TTCGTATTTGTACCATTATTGCATAGTGTATATATAGATATCGTAATAATACTAATAAGCCGATTTGTATTATTATTGGGTCCTTTTTACTTTTTAATATTAAGCCTACGATATTGAGAATTTTTTAGATTTTTTTTAAATACAATTAGCATTCGCTCCTTTTCTGGTCAATCAGTGCTCGATCGATGCATTTATGTTGTATCCTCGATACAACTATAATGTGGGGCTACCAGGATAAAAACTCTATGCTCCAGAAGCAATCGGTTTAAAAACAGAATTTCAACATATTTTATATTATATAGATTTTCAGTTTTAATTAAGTAGGTATAGTAGTTTCTTTTGTACTCTTTTCGTTTTACCCTTATTGAATATAAAATATATTGCGTACGAATATTCAAATTTAGCTTACACTAAGTTCTTTAGACAAAAATAAAACAGAAATAAAAATAAAACCGTCAAAAAGTCTAGTTTATCTATAAGTTTCGGAATAGATGAACAAGACCCGTGCCGCGAAATCCTGGCGCATGGGAAAAAATAAACATGAAATATCAAATATTAAACGTGATAAAAATTTTGACAAATAGTATAATGTTATTTTCCTTGTACAATATTTTTAAGGGTTTGTCTCTCTGTCTGTTTGTACCGGCTAATTTCCGTAATGACTGGACTTTTAATTAGCAGATAGCTGCAAATACTTTTGAGCATAGTGTATATATAGTCCGCGCGCGAGCTCCGAGAAATCGGGGGCTGAGGTAATGGGCGGGTGTGCAGCGCGCCCGGCCGTCGCTTCACACCCCGCACGCTCCCAGTGCTAGTGTCGACCTCGACGCGAAAGTACGTTTATCGAGTTTTGCTTTTTATCTCTGACGAGACTGAAGTAGAATACCAAACAAGCTATCATGCAAGTAACGTAAGAAGATTGGTGTAGTTGTGATAAACACGTCACAGCATTAAAGAAACATTACTGGCAAAAGGATAGCTTAATGGAAAACGTTGTTGACTCATTTATTATCGAAGTACATGAGGAGAGTGATGATGATAGTACATCAAATTCTTCAAGTAGTGACTATCTGATTGCGACAGCGAATAATTCGATTTAACACTCTGAATTTTGTATAGTATATCATAATTAAATTTTATACCATTCGTTTATTTTCCATGCACATTATTGCACATAGATGGTACCTATACATAGGTATCATCCTCATACAATTATTATTTCATAATTACTAATTCAATGCAGGCGTGCGGATGCTAAAAATATTGTGTTATTATCGATAACATAATATCGACAAAATCACAACTCTAGCTTATTACGTCAACATTCCTTAAGATTCCTCGGAGCTCCCCAGCGGACTGTATATTATGTTACTTTTATAAGTGAAAACAATAAGCTTGGGCAGAAATAGTTTTAATACTGTTTAGTAATAGAGGTTTTGATTCAAAAATATAGGTTAAAAGCATTTTCACTCAACAACTGCTAATTAAATTCACAAAAACATTTAAATAAAACATTATATATATATATATATATATATATATAATAATATTTTATAGCAATCGAATTTAAGCGACAGTAGCCTAATGGCAGGGCGCGGACCGCGAACTCAAAAAGGTTGTGGGTTCGAATCCACCATTCGACTACTGGCGTGAACCACTCGTAACACAAGCAATTTAAGTTTACCACGAGTGGTTAAGGGGAATATTAGTAATGTTTGTAGCATTATTAATATTCTTTAAAAAAAAGTCAATAATTGGAAAGGTCTTTCACAGGGCACATTACACCTTTGATTTAGATCTTGAAATCAATTTATTTTGTAATATCCTACAGTATGCAGATGATTTAGCCCTATATATTTCTACGGACAACTTGACTACAGCTAATTCTCGGTTAAATTCTACCATGGAATATTTTAAGGGTATGTTCCGAAACGTTTTCAGTATACTGCCGAATAGGAATGACGTCATCAATTGCCACTATATTGTACTGCCGTGCCGCTGCCATATTGTGGCAGATATCCGGCCGTAATAAAACAATTTTTAATTGTGTGTGCGCTGAATGAAGCATGCCAGAATTTGTTTTTATTTATTCAAATACAAAACATTATAGAATAATTGCTGGTATCTCCATTAGGAGGATATAATGATTATTGAGCACAAAATGACAAAATAATCGCCAACAGTTTTCCTATATGACACAAATGTATGATGTCATATACTGTCCTATGTTTTGGAACGAATCACTAGTATAGCGTCAATTCACGACGTCATTTGCATTGGACAGTACACTGGGTTCTATTTCGGAACATACCCATAATGCTGTTTAACTGATCATGGTTTATCTCTCTCTGTCTCCAAGCAGTATTGTGATTTTTACTCACCATAAGAATGTCCCAAATATTCCAGTTTTATATAAAGGCTTACCAAAAATTAGGTAAATTTTCTAGGTATGGTTCTAGATAATAAATTATCCTTTACACAAAACACTGAATGCATTTCTAAAAAGTGTGAGAAGAATATAAATATTCTTCGTTCCCTTTCAGGAGTATGGTGGGGATCTCATCTCTTTTTACAAAAGCTATTATTATATAATGTAATTCGTAGCCATTTAGATTAAGGTTGCTTTCTTTTAGAGCCATGTAATAAATCATCATTTAAAAGTTTAGACAAGATACAGTATAAATGTCTCTGCATTATAATTGGTGCAATGAAATCTTCCCCGATTAATGCCCTTCAAGTAGTGTGTTGATCCTCCTCTCAACATAAGAAGACAATATTTTTCAGACAAATCCTTATTTATGATATGTCAACTCTCTTCGCATCCCCTATTTCCCAGGTCACACCTCCTCTCAGAATTCTTATATTCAGTAATAGTTAACTACAATAATACTTTCTATCAATAATTTTTGCAATCATAAATTGTTTGTTTATACCATTATTTTTAGTACAGTGGCATTTGATGTCTAAATGATTGAAAATACAAGAACTAAAAGAGTAAAACCTATATATTTAAAGAAATTTATACATGTAATAAGCAGTGGCGAAGCTGGAGCTCCAAGCTAGGGCAAGCCCAAGATATAAATTGATAAATATATAGATTGTTGTTTTTAGCAGTTTTATAAAAATACACCAATCTTGATATGTCTCCACGCTTCAGTTTCATATTCAGTGCTGTCAAGGATGTGTTTAACAAGGCACACAGAAGGCATACCACTGCTAGACAGATTGTATTACATATCAGCAATTGCATAGCTTCGGTGGCTTTGAAGAAAGCCGTTTGGGTTTGTTTAAGCGAAAGAAAAAAATATTTACATCCAATACAATACATGAACAAAAGTAAAACATGAACAAAGTACAAACAAACTATGTACAAAATTAAAAAAACAAATTATTTACATTCTAATGGATAAGAGATAAGATAAGTGGAATCGTCTCGCTTTCTTATGGAAAGATTTAATTACGTCCACGTAAAATGTTGGTGAACGTTTTAATTGTACCAATAACTGTTTTTTAATTGCGATAATTGATAGGTAAGTCTGAAATAAACTCTTAATCTTGTGTATTATCTCAACAAAGTTTAAAGATTTCCTATCCGATTTGCACTTTAACACACTTCAATTCATCACAAGGAACACTATTATCCTCCATTTTCATTAAAAATCTTTAAAAAAGCATAAATTTTGAACTCGTAATATTAAATCGCTTAAGATAAGCACACAGAGTAAATAAACATTGAAACATGAAATGAACTTGCAAACGTATTGCCCGCGCGCCTCCGCTTTTAACAAATTTAGTCCCAAAAGCCTGGCTTTAAATCTCCATACTAATTGCTATATATACAATCGTAGTTATATTTCATTATAGAATATTTTGCCATAGGTTAGAAAGAGAGCGATCGTCTTCTCGAAAGCCCTGTAAAAAGCCCACGCGAGCAAGGGAGACAACTAATCGCTCTATTAAAATTCATTTTTTATGATGGCAGCAGTATCGCTAAGGCAATACGAGGTCATCGGTCGACATGTGTCGAACAGTGGAGTGCATGGGAAATTTGAAATAGCTTGAAACATTTTACGAGTTATTTTATTAGTTGATATTATTGATTGATTCAGTTTTAATAAGGCAAGGCCGGCTTTTCGGCTTTTATAGAAGCTTCGCCACTGGTAATAAGCATTTTTAGTACACCAGTTAGCCAACAAGAAATGCATGACAAAATTAACTGTACATAATAATCAAAATGTAAACCAATAAAAACGATAATTTGTTTTTTTGTGTAAAAATAATGTTTTTATGAATTTGGAGTAACATATTTTATAATTGAAACATATTATTGATACTAAATAAAATCTGAAATCACTATTGCAGCCTAATAAGAAAAATAGGTCAAGTAGACAAAGGATTCTACAATCAGTTGTGATAATTTTAATGTTACATATAGTGATGAGATAGATGTTACAGGTCTAAAAAGTACATAAAAAGGTTTCAAACAAAAATTACTTCGATCTTGTACACTTTTGGTATGACGTACGCCCCCCACCCTAATGACGAGTGTCATTTATAAGAAAATCAATATTTTGTCATATTATGTCAACATTGGTTTTAAAAGTTGTTAGTGTATATCTCTTAGATTGTTTATTATAAATAGTAATACTTTCATTCGCAATTAATATTTTTTGCAATTACAAATAGTTTGTTTACACCATTATTTATAGTACTGCGACAGTATGGCTACTATCGAGGTAATAAATACCTGGCGGCATTTAATGACATGAATGATTGAAAATAAAAGAACTAAAACCGTAAAAACTATACATTTAAAGAAATTTATTCATGTAATATGAATTTTTAGGATACCAGCCAGCGAGAAATTAATGACAAAATGAACTGTACATTATAATCAAAATGTAAAACAATTAAAAACGATAATTTGTTTTTCGTGTAAAAATAGTTTTTTTATGAATTTGGAGTAACAGTTCATCAAAACAATAAAAAATTTTACTTACTTTGACCGACAAGAGCTTTCAGAGCCATCTTGGACAAAGACACAGATAACTATACTATACACTAGTTATGGAATTAGACACAGACACAGAGATCAGACTCAGATTGTTATTATTACGATGTACGATCCAAAGAGTATATAATCGCTACGTTCATTACGATCCGCCAATTACTTTGAGTATTCAAGCAACTGGAGAGGCCATGTGCGTTAATTCCTAAACAAAAATTCTGTCAACATCAGGAGGGAGCACGAAAAACACACAACCGTATACTTAACTACAAATGCAAAATTAAATCACGTCACTATTATATGTATAAACGCAAACTACAGCATCATTTATGTTTGTGTTCATCGCATTTACGCATACCATCAAATTTTACACGTGTCGATACACTGGTGTTCTTAGAGTAATTACATACATACGTATGCATAGAGAGAACCTACAATTCTACATAAATTAAGTCAATATACTGGTCTTGTTTTTTCTAATTTAATTTTCAGATAAGTCAAATAGTGACAAATATATTCAAAGATTTTACGTATAATTCACGCGTGGAAAAAGAATTGTCAAGTGGTCATCTTTGGCCTCTTTTTACACTACTAAATAAAAAAGTTAATATGATCGTATTTATTTTGTCCTAGATAGTACTGGCTGATTAATTAGATAAATGTAACTTTAATTAAGTCGTATTATTTGTGATGGTTTACATCGGTTGTCTTTAATATTTTACTAAAAATATTATTATAAAATTATATCTTTAAATAAAATATATCACTAGAGATGGCTTGTTTTATACTAGGATGCAAGAATTCGTAAGCTTCCTCCGGTGTGTTCGTTTTTATTATCCTAGAATTAAATTACATTATAACTATAAGTAAACTATTTTTCATAAAAATATAACTTACTCTGCAACCTTCCGCTAACTAAATACAATGATGTGTCTTACCTGAATTGAAGAGCACCTCCCGCCCTCCCTCAATTGCATGCACTAACTCCGTCACCACTAGTCCCAGCACCACTACTCCCAACACCACTACTCCCAACACCACTACTCCCAACACCACTACTCCCAACACCACTACTCCCAACACCACTACTCCCGGCACCACTACTTCCAACACCCCTATTCCAGGTAAGACACACCATCGACGATAATACGACACGTGTTTCGCCTCTACACGAGGCATTCTCAGGTGATGTAGACTCTACGTCCTAGCCTCTCAATCCAGGTAAGAAACATCATTGTATATAGTTAGCAGTAGGTTGCAGAGTAATTAATATTTTTATTATAATGGATTTCCGAAAAGTAACGCCTGATTCTATCAACTGTTTTTCACATTATTTTGAAAATAACAAGTCGGTTTTTTGTAAAAATAAGACTGTATTTGTTATACATAATCGCTAAAATACATTGAAATATAAAATTTATTTTAAACAATAGCGATGCGATTCTTCTTTTATTTTCGTTGTTTTAGTATTCCTAAATATGATAAAGAATTAGAAAAAAAAACTGGATGAGAGTAATTCCACGGCCACAAAACCACTGGACAAAGAATAGCCGCATTTGAACAAATTTCTCCAAACATTGTTTTTTTTTTAACAAAGGGAAATGTCGAAGGCTGAAATTAAATGCAATTTCTACTTCTTTATACATCGTAAGAATACAGCTATTATGTTTAATTTTATTTTTAATTTATCTAATATAATAATAATAATATAAATAATTTATCATTTAATGTAATTAAGAAGCTGTCAAAACAGCATACAGTCAATGGGATACCAACATGCGAATAGCATTATTAATCATAATATCATTACATCCGTTTTGAAACTCCAAATATGTTTGATATTTTAGGAACCAAAGGAGATTATGGATATCCCCCCCCCCCAACAGGAGGTGAAAATTGATTGAATGTGAGAATAGTGTAAGCATTTTTAAAAATTACTGGCTGAGAACTATTAAATAATAATATTTTATATAAAACGAAAAAATAAGTTTGCAATCATTACTTCACAGGTATTTTCTAAACTTCATACTGATATTAACAAACTAAAACCAGAACCAATGAACATAAGTGAAAATTTAACTCCATCCACAAGTTCAAATTGCCCTATAGATAATTTACGTATACACAAGTGGGAACAAAAATTAGCTAAAGCTCAGAAGCTGTCAAGAAAACGTCCACTGAAAATTAAACCTCTCCAGCAAAGATCATAGAGGCTTAAAAACAAAAACATAATCTTAAATAGTAGATTGCAAGAGACAACAAAAATTTAGGAAACAAAGAAATACTCATTTTGGACGCAGTAACATCATCATATCTTACGTCTATTTTCTAAGAACGTATATTACAGTATATACGCGTGAATGCTATAATTCAAATGCCTTATAAACTTTGTCTGAATTATTTTAATTTGTTGTTTATGCGTAATATAATAGGGAGAAAAATATCACTAGCGTAATAAACACTTTTGATGCAGTTTATGTCCGAAAAAGTTTAGCAAATACGTAGAACAAACCTTTGACTTTTTAAGCTTTTTGTACTTTTGTATTTACATGATTTTTTTGTATAGAAGAGGGGGCAAACGAGCATGCGGCTCACCCGATGTTAAGTAACTACCGCCGCCCATAATAACCGCAGCACCAGGGGAATTGCAGGTGCGTTGCCGGCCCTTTATAAAGGAATAAGCTCTTTTCTTGAAGGTCCCCAGGTCGTATCGGTCCGGAATAATCGCCGGTGGTAAACTATTCCACAGAGAGGTCGTACGCGGAAGAAAACTCCTTGTGAAACGTACGCTGGTGGACCACCAAGCATTCAGATAGTGTTGGTGTTATCGGGATGTTTGCCGCGTAGTGCGTTCACGAAATTTGGCGGCTGGGGAATAATTATTAAATTTATTTGTTTCATCTTTTTTACACGCCTTATAAAGAGGGATATAAAATGCGGACTTATTGTGTTATGGTATTCTTTACTAGTCAGCCCTGGACGATTTGAGAAACTGTTGCAGGTATAAAGGTTTTACTAAATACAATAAACAATTTAAAAGTTATTTCAATACAGTTAAATGGGTTTTATTTTCTTTGCAAAAGGCAAATAAATACTTTGTTTGAATTTTACTTTGTGTTGTTTTGCTCGCAAATAACTAATGTAAAACTGATGAAAAAGCGTTACCAAATTTAGCAAACAGAATTTATCTTAGTGGGTTTTATGACATATTTTAACTTTATAGCACGATCGATCTGAACTACAAAATTCACCCAAATTGAAACAAAATTTAGCAAAATTGATTGTAAGTCAAACGTTTTTAAGTTCCATTGCGGAACACTTCGTCCGAAGCGGGTCTTCCCTTAGTTGCTATACTAAATTAATATTCATAGAAAACGTCAAGCAATGTTATTAAAATGCTGAATTTTATTGAACCATAGATAAAACGAGTATATCGATAAGGCTGTTCTTTTTTTCTATAGTTACCATCACTAGAATTATCTATGGTATATAAAAAATCCGTAGACAGAGAAACCTATAGACTAGTGGCCTCGAGTGAGAAAGGGCGATAACGTAATTTTAGGTTACACAATAATCTTTATGACTTTTAAACATATTTAGATAAAATTTTTATTTGTTCTAAGAACTGAACTGAACAAAATTCAACAATCATAAGCTCACAAAACACTTTTTTCTCACTTAAACCAACTTGTAAATTCCTTAGATCGCTACGAACTGTCAAAGTTGTTTAGCAAAGTGTAGTTTGCTAAACAAAGCAACCGGCACGGAGAGAGGGACAAACAATCACACCGCTCTGTCTAATTTTTATGCAAGACATATGCATAAATCTATCTTTTTCGTGTGCGAATGCGAAAGAAGGCGTCAATTTGTCTATAGGTTTCTCTGTCTACCAAAAAATCTAAAAAAATGTCTTCAACCTTGTAAAGTATCTTTTTTATCCTGTAAGAATTTTCATATGCATAAAGAGTTCGGTTACATAAGGTATTGTTATGTTTTTAAGACTCTCTCTAAGCTAGTAATTACTCTAAGCTGGTGTCGCTGTTTACATGCGTAAGCAACGTAGGGCTTGGACTATGTCGATATTTTTTATCGATAAACAAATCACCACAGTCCACACAAGTTTTTATTTGATTTTATATAATACATTGATAAATAATACCAAGGTTTTATTCAAAATTCTTTTTAAAAAAATTTAAAAATGTTCTTCGGTAAAAACCTTTGAAATTATTGAAAGTAAATTTAAAGTAAAAGTTTTAATTTGCTACAGGTTTATTTTAAATTATGCAGGATAAAATTTAAAACATGTAACAAATAAAATGGGAGGTTTAGTTAAGTTATTTTAAAAATCAGATTTGTAAAAAGAAAAGTCGTATCGGATTATCGCCTTAGATGGTGTTAACCAAGTGTTCGTTTTTATTATAAGGCTTCAATCACAAAACCGCTACTTAAAAAATGTTGTTGATTTTCATGAGTTACTAAATGAACTATCGGGAAAATATTTAATAAATTAGGAATATAACGTAGTTTTACAAAATTTAATAGTCGAAAAAAGTGAACTTTAAGCAGACTGTTGCTTAAAAATAATATTTAACATCTAACTGGGGCTAAGTATTCCCCAGAAAGATATTTTGCTTTAACTTTACATTACTATTCACCGAAAGCTTAACGATATGTGCGAAATGTCAAAAGTTTTGAAATTTTTATGCCTTGTCAATTATTATTCATTACAGTAGTAGTAGTACAGTCTACTAAAGTTGTTTTAATGATGAGAGTAAAAGTAAGAAATTGTATTGATATTAGTAAGATGAAATGAAAATAAAAATTGAGTCCATGCAAGTTCTAAAAGAATTTTGGTTTGTTAATTTGGATTTATTTTTTTACAATCTGGACGCTATGGTTTGATATCAATTTTAATACTTCTTGTAAAGTAACCATTGGGTATAGAGGGTACAAGTGCTACCTAAATCTGTACAAGCTTTACACTAGTTCAGAAGCATGGCTCAGATTTTCTTATTATTTT